GATTGCAACCACTGGTTGCAACCACCTTTACAACCATTTTGTTTCCTTTTTTGGATTGCGACATGGAACACTACAACCAATGGTATATACCATTTATACCCTACTAAAAAATTACACAAGAAATCAATTGTGGTATATACCCCTCAAATTATTTATAACATGTTATATACCATCCCTAGTTTGTATGGTTGTTTCCCATGATATTTTTTTTCCAGATTTAAATTTTTGTATTTACAATTTCTATTATTTGTGATCCATTCATGGAATCCTTTAGCAGCTATATATTCTTTAATGAAGTTTCTACAAGATTTTTCAATTATTTTGTTTTTAAAGTTCAAGGTGTATTGTATTTTTTAATTTTTTCGTAAATGAAATTATTTTTATTTTTATTATTTTATTTTATTAATTTATTAACAACATGTATAATTATTATCTGAATTCGTGTTACGTCCCGTCTATTTAATTTTTATTATTATTAATTAATCCGTAGCACATTCATATTTATTTAACTTTATTTAGTAGAGATTAATGACGATTATCTCAGACTGGGCGGAATCGCCCAGACCGGGCTAATATGTAAAGAACATGTATATAAAGAACTTGATTTCGACCTAATGTAAAAGCAACTTTGTCATAAGTTAATTAGTTTCGACTAAGGAAAACTTTGTTACAAGTTAATTAGTTTCGGCTAAATAAAAAATAGTAATATTTTATTTAAATAAACTTTTATCTTCTTTAACCAAAATTATTCACTAATACCAAAATCAATTCATTGATCCCTATTCATTCTGATCGCACAAAAACAAAAATAATTGTTATCACCAATTAAAAATACACTCTCCCAAATTTAATCAGTGACAGTATGAATCCATGGAAACAAGAAATCACTGTGAAATTTAATAGAAGGTTTAATGAACTCACTAATTATTATTACATTCTTTCATATTGGCTTCATCCTTTATATCATGGTTAGCATTTTTTTGTATAAATAAATATAAATATATATATATATATATATATTTATGTAATTGAAAATAACTTGTTTATTTTTTAGGCAAGGTGCTTAAAAATGATGTATTAGACAAGATATATGAAGCAACAGCAAGGCTTTAGGTTATGATGAGCATTTATGTATACAATTATTGACAGAGATGTGTGCTTGGAAAAGACAGTCTCCACCATATCATTTGTCCTATAATAAAGAAAAGGAAAATCCAGCTATGTGGTGATTAAGTATTAATACAGATAAAAACAATGACCAATTGCAAGAATTAGCCTTACATTGTTATGCAATATCTCCATCTCAAGCAGTTTATGAACTAGAGGTTATTTTTGATCAAGTTAATTGTTTTTAAATTTTGTTGAATGTATAGTGATAAGATGAAAATGGATTCAACTAGTATTTATATTGCTTTTAAGAAATATACTCCGGGCTTTTGATATTTTCTTTTAATGCCTTTATTATTTGCATAATTCATTCATAACATTCTCTTTTCATAATTTGTGTTTGATTCTTCACTTGATATAATTATTTTTTTTCAAAGAAAAATTAACTATACGATTATTTTATATTTAAAATGATAATAATAATGATAATAACAATTAAAAGTAAAAAATGACTAAACAAGTGGTTTTTTTTGTTCAGTAAAGCATATTTTAAAATTATAATTATGTGTATATTAAAGTTTCTCTACATCATTTTTAAAAATAGAAAACCCTAAAATATATGTATCAGTCCCTTACAACTCATTTACCAATCTAATAATGTAACTCATATATATGGAAACCTTGAATATTGTGACTTTTATCTACCAGTTTTAACTATAGTAGTGGATATTAATCTGTAAAAATTTCATGACTACAATCTTCACAACAATTACCAACATTCTTCTTTTTAATATTATCAGACTGAAGAAATTTTGTTTTTTTTCATTAAAATTTTATTTAAAATTAAAATTAAAATGATATATATAAAATATTTACCAAATATTTATTATAACTTGTATTAGCTTTTGTTCTTCCAGTAAACCAAACTTTGCCCTTTCTACTTCCACTTTTGTTCTTTTTCATATAATTTTCATTATCATTGTAATGTTTATGGTTGTTTCTTCGATCATAATTTTCATATGTGATACCTATATAATCTATATTTGAAATAGTTACTTTTTGTTGTTGTAATCTGATTTTTTTAGTTTTGTAATATTTTCGATTACATTTTTTTATTATATTGGGTAGTAGTAGTAGGTCTGCATCATTCGACATTTTTTAATATATTAATAATATAGTGCAGGACATCTATAATGGGTTCAATATGAATGTTACACACTAAACCAAAATTGTCCCCGTTGAAATTCATAAAATTCAATGTTTATATACTTTGTAAACTTTTCAAAATAAAATACATTTTTGATCCAAAAAAATTTGTTCCCCAAGGTGAAAGAAAAATAGCAGTGAAGTTTTTTACATCTAAAGTTTTATTTCATTGATTTTTTCAAAAAAGAAAATTTTTTTTCTAAATACACCAATACATTAAAGTTCATTTACTAAAGTTTTAATTAAAAACATCATATTTTTTGCCAATATCTTTTCTTTAAAGGTTATTAGCCTTTAAATTAATAAGAGTATAGAAAATTTTTACATTTATATACTGTAGTAACCCCAAGGCATAAGTAACCAAATCAATTTGGTTGCTTGAAAAATAATAGTAAAATATCCTCCAATTCTACCCAAACACAAAGTTGATTGAGTGCCAAATCAGATTTTGGTGAATTTTGAATTTGTAATTTTCAGCTGGATCCAGTGTGATGATATTTCTTTAGGTATATAATTATATAATTTGAATTTAATATTGGTGTAATTTTTATTGATTACAAAAATTTGATTTATTATTGTTTTAATTAAAAATATCCTACAATATGTTATATTTTTTTCAGAATATGATGTATGTGTTCTTTTGAAGATCAAGGAACCAAATAAATGAACACAAATTATAGTTTATTCTGCTTTCTATACTAGATGCCCATATAGATAATTATAATTTACCTTTTGTTCAAGGTAAAGAATTATTGATAATTGTTTTAATATCACAAATCCATTTGCTAATAAGATCAATAATTACTTTGTGATAGAGATGTTAATCAGTCCTGAACAGCCTGGTTCAGTCCTGGGACTTTAAGTCCCAGAAAGAGTCCTAGAAAAAGTCCCAAACTTTTTTCAAGCAGTTAATAAAACAGTATATACTTTTATTATACAGTCAGACCTCCATAAGTGCACCCCCCTTGGGACTGAGGGACAGTGTGCATTTATGGAGGGTGTGCATTTATAGAGAGAAGCAATTTCATTGGTTGCATGTGGTACACAATTTTTTTTAAAAAAATTATTATATTATATTTTAAAATAACTATCCATTGTAGCATAGCGGGCTTAAATTTGATTGGTTGATCGACAAGGTACATAATCAATAGAGTTCATTATTAAATTTTTCGTCATCTGACTTTAAACCCTTTTCTGGCCACCAAAAATTATTTCTGGCTTATAAGACACATACCAATAAAAAGCTTAG